CAACTGTTCGGGTAGAAGAGTCTTACAGCAAGTGCGCCATTGCGTACGGTTTTTGACTATATCTTCCAGCGTTTGCAACCAGATGTGCTCGGAGTCTTTTGGTTCTCAACCTGGGAGTCGGGAACGTCCAACAACAGTCAGATTCAACGTTTGCGCCTTAACGCATTTGATCCAAGTTTTACATTGATCTCCTTTTTCGTCGCTTTCACCCCAAGCCTGTGCTCGCAAATAGGGCTTGTCGTGGTAACCGTTGTGCAGGCATGCGGAGCATATGCACAAGCCAGCAAACCCTCCGCAGTGAAATGATGCTATCAATCAGTCGACGGAGTTCGTTAGATCTGTAGACTCGCCGACGGACTTCCTCATTACTGATGTGATACTGCCATTGAACACCAGCAGTGCTTCGCATTTAGTGGTTATCGAAGAGATAGCCGCTGAACATCGGTTTTGCAAACGCGCCAAGTCTCACAACCTGTTCGGTAGAATCGCCCGAAGCTACACGTGACGAAGGTTAGCGAAAGTGCCTCTAACTTTTAAGACAATCAGGCTAAACTCCTCTGTCAAACCGCCAATACTAAGTCAACTCCCAAGCTACATACGTGTCGACGACTTCCAGAAGATGCCCCGAAAGGGTGAGAGCAGGACATGCACTTGGTCAGTCCTGTAACAGAACATTACATTTGCAAGGGACAAAAGTCAACCCTAATTGGGAGGCGGACATCCTCAGTCCAAGCAGCACATGCTGCGCGTCTTAGGAAGACTCGCAAATCACAGCGATGTCATCCACGTACTCCAAATCCCGAAGGCGATCACCAGGGATCAGTTCAACGCCGCAAGACTCAGAGTTTTCCAGGGCATCATCTAGCATCTCGTCCATGGCGACGTTGAACAAAATGGTTAGACTTGGTAACCCTGTCTAACACCGCTAGTGATACTGAAAGGGGACGAAATGTCTCCGTATACTCGCACGTGGCCCGAAGTTTGATGGTAAATGGCACGGAGAATGCTGATATACTTCTCAGGTACTCCCCTCTTCAGTAAGCAGTCCCAAAGTGTCACTGTCAACAGAGTCAAACGCGGCTCGAATATCCAAGAATATGACTATAGTTGCTCGATTTAACGTATGGCGATGTTCAAGTGTCTGGCGGATTGTAAATATGTGATCGACGCAACTGCGACCCGGGCGAAATCCATCTTGTGGTTCACGCAGGTGCTGTTCCCGTACTCAGTTGAGCCTCCGCAAGATTAGGGCAGCGAACAGTTTGAAAGCGACACGAATGAGACTGATGCCATGGTTGGAGCAAGTGGTCCGGTCTCCCTTTTGTAAACAGGCAATTCCAGTCGGATGAGGTGGTTTCAGTAGTCCAAATCTGATAGAAGAGAGATGTCAGTTCACGAGTGCCTGCAGGGCCCCCATATTTGAAGTGAGCAGGAGGAAGTTCATCTGGGCCACGTGACTTGTGTTGCTTCAGTAGGCGAAGTTCATAGGATACCTCAGCCTCGGTCGGTGGAGAAACATCCACGCGCCAGGGAGCACTGTGAATCCCGGAAGACGGAATCGGTTGCGCTGGTGGCCAGTTGAACTGATCTTCAAAGTGCTCTGCCCATCGTACCAGACGACGGTGATGACGGTGAATTAGTTCGCCGTCATTTTCACGCAAAACTTCTTACTGTTGGTATTCTGCCTCTCTTGGGGCGAATAAGTTGGAAGAGTTTGCGGGCGTTTCCTTATGTGAGTGTCCGCTCCATCTCAACGACGCGTTGTGTCCACCAGCCCTCGCGATGCTTCCTGAGGAGCTATCTGAGCTCAACACCTGTGGTTCTGCAACTCAGGTGGGAATTGTTCGACAACTTTCCATTAATTGGGGAGACTGTGCAGAGATCCAATGACTAGAAGTTCGTCTAGTGAAGCCACAGACCAGGGTAGCGGACTTTCGTAAGGCGCTCTGGATCTGTGCCCAGTGTGTCTCAACATCGGAGGATAGGGAACATAGGTTTGAGGCTAATGTGTTCTGAACTACGCCGATAACATTTGGGGCAGCGAGCTTGTCTGTGTCAAGGCGTTTCAGGCGACGCTTTTGAGTGCCTCCACAGCGCAGAACGAACTTAGCACATACGAGCGCATGATCCATATCAGGTAGATGTTCGAAATTGACTTGCAGTCCGTTATGCAACCTTGCGAACGGTAATTGACATTGATCTGATCAATCTGCGTCCAACGTTGCCCAGGCGCTGGAGGTCCCCATGTGGCTCGTTGGTGCCAGAAACGTCGCAAATCGGTGCTGGGAAGGAACAAGCCGTGGTCGGCGCACACTTTTAGGAGTCGATCGCGGTTGTGCATCCCGCGAGTACCGTGGCTGTCTTGACCCCCAACTTTGCGCTCATGAATAGTCTACCGACCTGTGCATTTAGGTCTCCGGCGAGTATTACGAGGTCCGAGCTGCGTTTCTTGCGGAGGAGGTCGGTGAGTTGGTGGTAGAACTCGTCTTTAGCTTCGTCCGGGTTGCAATCCGTAGGAGCGTACACCTACACAATGTATAAGCAGCGCCTACTGGTCCCGTGGCTGGAAAATCGCACTGAGCTTTCCAAGTGGACTGCACAAAGGCGGCTGTTGACCGGGAACCAGTCAATGAGCGCTATTTCAGCACTCGCGCTTAACGCAACTCATGCGTTGGCGCAACCAGAGGCTGCCGCTGTCGCATCTCCAAAGCAGCGCAAGGTGAATGTGCAATTGGAACTTGGGAATGGTGACAGCAATCGCAGCGTTGTGCTAGCGTTTGGTAAGCGGGTTTTGGTTAGGCAGCAAATGTCGATTCAGAGGACTTCCAAGTTGCGCGCAAAAGCAGCTTGTGAACCAATCTGCATGAGCGTTCGAACATTGAACGTAGCTGACTTGAAGAGCCAGTGGGGTGCAATAAAAGCCTTGCTGTTGGTATTGGAATGTGTGTGATCGGTTTTGAGCGGGCCGTTGCTGAGGCCAAAACTACCATTTTTATTTGTAATGCACTTCGGGAGACTCAAAATCGGAGTGGTGTTGCTAAGACCAGGAGGGTTAAATAAACGTGGATCGAAGAACGTGGTTTACGCTGCGGTAAAGTGCGGTTTAACATGCCCGACCGCCAGCACCTCGGCCAAAGATAGAGAGCTCAGAGAGCGAGAAACGTGAGCAGAGAGTTGTAAATCCATCATTTCATGTGTTGTGTGGGCATACAGCTTCCCGGTTGCCCTGGCCGAAGAAAGGGGTTGACTTAGAGCACCTTTGGTCATAGGGATCTGACCCGCAAGGCAGCGGGGCGAATTCGGGGATCGCTCTTATTGGGAGCCAGTGACCAATTACTCGGTTCATACGCCTTTCTCTTGGCTGACTGCCAAACATGGGCCCAATACTCCCAGCAATTCAACATCAAGCTGAAGGATTACAATGCTCCAGCGAGGTGAAGCAAGCGGCAGTGACTTTATTTACTTGCGAGTTGCCTCCGCCACGCCGCCATGTTTTTAAACGGATATATGTGGTTTTTTCTAAAAAGAACGCTTGTCAGGCGAAAGCCCACCACGTTCTGGAACACTGTCACCGAACGTTTCGCTGGAACGGGACTAGCCCGAACCACCCAGTTGGCACCACGAGGATGTAGTATAGCGAGCCTGCCTGCTCAGTCCCCTTATATCACGCATCACGCTCCATTGGCTGTTCCGTGTTGCGCATGCCAGCCCACCGACTCCTGCGATGTGCGATGTTTGCGCTCCGGGGGTGGGGATGAAAGAATAGGAAGCGTGGCCATGCGATGACTTGGTCAAGTAGAATGAGGGCCCTTACTTCTAAGTTAGTATTGGTTGGAGGCTCTAAGCTCCCTGCTTGGTGTCTTTCTGAATACCTTAGGCTGGACACACTTGTTCACGGGCTTAGAAGGCGACCTAAGTGACGTTTGTCTCCTGAGTTTCTTTGTCCCCTCACCTCACATTTAACCTCCCTCTCCAACCACGATCTTATTTCATACGCATAATATAACTGTTTTTTCGGCAAAATCGTCGGAAGGTAGCTCTCCGGAATGATGCCCATTCGTTACTAGTGGCTTAGCTGGTGTGCGTTCGTTGCATGCTGTTCTACTTATTTTCTTATGTGTTGCACACAATATCCGAGGTGTTTTCCACTCCTAGCTAACACATATAATGATGATAATGATGATACTGCACCGTATGCGTGTGCAGCAACGCGATGGTTCTATTCCATAGTCTTTTTACTTAGGTTGTACTGTGAAGATACTTGAAATCGCGGCCAATAATAATGTGGGTACCAACCAATGGACAATTTTGTGGAGTCGACCTAGCTTTAATCTTCGTAGCCAAGCAGTTCGATTTTCAAAAGGGTTGATGGGCAACTCACAAGTTTTTTCGTAGTAGACCATTATGTTACTTCGTCAGTACACGCGTCCGCACCTTCTCTTACTACTGAAGGCGGTGGCACAACACTGTACCCACTTTGCTTTTGCGCTTTTGTTTAATATTCCTACTTGCAGATAGTTCTTGGGCTACTCTGCACTCGGGTCGTGTTGCGCCCTGTTAAATACAGGCCTTGCTTTGTCACAAATGGCCACTTGTCCACACCGGTTGCTGAAATATGCCATGACCTAGTGTTAATTCTAGTTGACGGTTTCCAATTCCTCACCGAGCTCTACGCATTACTAACTAGTCCCGAATTTTGCGGACGGTCCTCCAACACTTTTCATCAATTCGGCAGCCACTTGGTTGGGTCCAGTTGAGATAGAATGCGTTCGCACGTTTCTACCAGTCCTTTATAAGCCGAAAACTGCTTACTCTAGCGGGTCTCGCTGTTTTTGACTTGTGTCTACCAGCTGCTCGTCGCGACGCCTCCAGACTCACCATTCAGCACTTTTTGTCAAATAATTTTACTACTGACAATTTTGTGAGCATATGGATTCTTTGAATTTTCGTTTTCACCACGCCTTGATCGCATTATTTACCGTTTCCGCACTGCGTTTCAGGTATATCTTGGTGGAGCAAGATAGACACGCACCCGGTCGCGACTTGTGGGACGATTGTGAACAAACAGCTGGCAAACCGATTCCTGGTATCTTTTACCGGGTATTTCTCAGTCCTCAAGTGGTCCTTTCTGTCAATGACCGAGGTGTGTTTGGCATCTGTTGGAGCCTTTTCTATTCGGAGCACTTCCCTACGTCCAATATTTAATATATCAATGTGATTTTTTCCCTGTTGCAGCGAATCATCTGAAACTGCACGAATCTCAACTGATGATCACTGGGGAGAAGGGATATTGCATGGCCCGTGCTACGCATGGCGTCCACACGGGCACATGGTATTATGAGGCAATGATAACCGATCAGCCGGAGTGTTCAGCGACTCGTATTGGTTGGTCCCAACTGCTGGGTGAGTGCGCATCTCTCTACTCATCTTAAGTTATTTGAGCGATTTTTTTCATTACACATTAACAGAAGGGGAGAAAAATATCAGCTATTGTGCCACAATACCAAAAGAAGTTTGAAATCATGAACTACTATACTATATAGAAACCAAAAACAGGTAATATCTTCTCCGGCATCATAATACGCGTGCTTAGAGGTGAATCTAATTTGGAGGGGGAGGAACGTAGAAACTCGCACTACAATCGCCATTGAGGTCGGCTCCTTGCCATGTCAACTAGTGTCTTCACCCAAACGTATTCATCGTCTTTCGGTCCCCAGCCCTGAGGCCAGGAATCACCAACCGACGTTAAGTTCGAGGTGTTGGTATTCATACTCCTTAACGAGATAATCGATTAGCCTCTTTCTTGCACACAGATCCCCGTCGCACAAACAGTTCACGTAGCAGGAGTCGGTGTGCTGGCACGCGCAGCTCCTAGCCCTGACGTCAGAGTCTGCTGCGTGATATAAACGGTCTGAGCAGTTCACTCGCTCTTCCTGAACCAAATATACAGCGTCGAACACTGTCATTGCTCACACGGTGTTCCCACCAGATGTGAGCTATGGTACAAACGCAGCGATGTTCGAGCATAACTAACCTCTTTATATCCGTCCATCTGATGCGCTAGCTTTCATAACCATGCAGACGTCTGCGTTGTAAACTCGACCGTTCGGGGCGAGAGTAATGTCGCGTTGGCGCCAAAACTGGCGGAGATTTGAACGACTAGACCCGATTGACGAACTGCGTACTTCTCCACCAGAATAGTGATTACAAACGCGGTGTATCGTCCGTCGAGGAAGCGGGGTGTACTGAACATATCGGATAGATTGATGCGTACATGATCCTGGTCCATTTGTAAAAATCTTCCCTGGCCAGTGGCCTTAGACCACGAGCCTGGCTTGTAATCCGAAGGTCGTGGGTTCTAGTCTGCGTTGGGGACTGGGCGACTATCACAGTATTCTCAGCCCATGCGCCGCGGATGGTGATTGCGCGGCAGCTCGTGTCAGTACTGCGTACCGGCCTCCAGCTGCTGCTATTCGTCGTCAAGAGCTACCACCAAGTCGCCTCAACCTTGTCGGGCGTTTACTGTTCGTCTTAGATATCTGCCACTCTTTCAGCACGACGCATTATCGATAAACAAGTGATCTGCGAAAAACGACGAATTCAATCTGATGAGTACTTAGAGTAATCTCACTCGCTTTCGTATCGACTACGTCACTCGGCTTTCTAATGCCGCCTCCTCACTCGTAGAGCTGTATCGAAAACCACCTGATATCTTCTTTCGGATTCCAGATGCAGCTTGCCCCTGAGATCGCTACCGTTATATGGTCTTTTTCACCTGTTGGTTGAAGGAGACTCCAACGTGTTATTCCATGCGTGGGAAACCTTATCACTTCCGGACCGTTCGTATCGTCTATGTCGAGGCCTCCAGTTGATTGGTCCACAGCCCAAGCTTTCTTCTACTCTGAACTGTATCAACCCTTTTCTACACTTCCGCTGATGTATACTTTGGCATCCTGGCACCGCTGTTCTATAGCCAACCCCCCAGATACCGTTACCGACGTGGCACTTGTAGTACCATCGTCTTCTTATACTTGGGTTATACTTGTACGGAGGAAAAATGTGTTGTATACTTGAGTTATATTCCGACGGGATACTCCGATCATTTTGATTTCCACAATACAAGCGTCAAATTGCCTTGCTCCCGTCCACCTTTCTGTTGACTGACGAATGCCGACCGTTGCTGGGGTTTTATCCCTGACTTGGCGTTCACCCTGCCAACTCTACCTGTGCACATATCTCCTCAGTTACCACATGGATATGTTAAAGGGGGTATGCCCCATGCTGAGGCTGATGTTGCATTCCTGATATTTCTTCACCACAGTTGGGCTAAACCAGTTTACACTTAAACTAGGTCTTTTGAATGTGGATAAAATTCATTCCATTTTATTTGGTTTGTTCTGTGTACTTGATAATCTCCTAACATGCACACTTCGCTCATGCGAATTGTGGTAACCTTGCGTAACTTTATCACGTAGTAGATAGAAACGGGGTGTTGCCCACTCGAAAACACTGCACAACCACGACGCGTTTCGATGTAATTTCATCTCATCTGGTGGAGACAGCAGGCCTCGATCCCGCGACCATTGGAATAGTAGCCGAAACTTCTCTACCCCTGGTGGGCAACACCCAATTTCTATCTGCTTTGAGTACGGTCCCAGTGATCGCCGTGACTAAGGTTTACTTCAGTGTGATCCACAGTCCATTACATTGAGATTGCGCGTCGCAATCCAATCACACAACATGTAGTCCAAACTTGAACCTCCAATTATCACGCAGTAATTTGTAAATAACTTTCGGGCATTTTGTACTTATCGCGGATTCGCTTATAACCAATTTACTGCAAACGCTCACTTAGCGAGTATTCCTATCGTCATTTACGTTGACTTTATTCGATGTCTTTTATTTGATACCGGCATTTCGAATGATTCCTGTTGTTTGACATCCTAGGTGTGGCTGCGCTTGATATGCATGTTGATACGGTGCCTGCTTGTCTATTACCCACTACCTCGTCCATACTGGCTCCAGGAGACAGTTGGTCGTTGCTGGAGGGGACGGGGTACACGGTCCTTGTGGCCGTACTACGCTCGAAGAGTAATTCCATGCACTCAGTTTGGAGCGGACTACGGTCCAGCCACCGCCTTGTGTGCGCTTGGTTCCCAAATGCAGCGTGCTTGTGTTTGCCTGTGAAAGAGTGTGGGCCGACTCCGTTTATGAAATGTGGCTCCTATCCACATGCCTCCCGGTCTTATTCCTTCGGGTTTACACTGGATATGAGGTGTGTGGTTGGAGCTTTGGGTGGTGCAGCGCAAACCATCCATGGTCCCTCTGTAGGCGCAGGCGTCCTGTGGCTGGCCACAGTGACAGACAAATCCGAAACTGGATGTCGCCAACCATGTTAAAGGGGGTGCGCTGGTTTCGAATCCATCTTGGCTCCCATCCGCATGCTTCCTAACCTTACTCCCCTGTTCTTTCACAGTATATAAGGGCTGTGTGGCGAGTGGTGGTGCAGACCCCATGATTTCTTCGCAGCCGCGCAGCCTTCTTGTGTCCGTTTGCAGTTACAGTAACATTGGAATCTAGAAATGGATGCCCCAACCATTCCCAGTTTTTTGGTTTGTTCAAACAATTTCCGTAACTTGGGTTAACTAATGCTCATCACTTGAAAAGCATCGGTGACGTGTACTGGTTATATTGCTCGGTGATCCAGTTCTACATACACTGTTCTACATACACATTGCATCTTACCTGAACCGAACATGTTTACAAAACGAAGTTTTAGGGATTAAATCCAAGTTTATAGTGTTGTTTTCACACAGTGGATCGCTCCGTTGTTGCAAATTTACTTAGTGCACCGTGTACATCAGGCCACCTGTTGCCTTGTTTGCGTCGTCTTTTTTCCGCTCGCCCACTAACTTCAGAGTTTGGCCAACCTAATTTGTTTCACCGGATACCATGCGTTCTCCGAGTGACTATTTTTTCACCTATGTTTACACAGCTCAAATAAATTGTCACTTTCCTCAGCTATCGTATTATCCTCTGGCGGACGGATTACTGTTTGTTCCGCGTGGACAATGCATTTACTGACGCAGTTTGAACACGCTTTAAGAGAGAATACTGATCGGTTCTTTTGCTATGACGTCATTTTATGCATGGGATTAAAGATCCCACAAAGCGAGCAACGCCAGGTTTCCTTCTGCTTCTGATCGTATGACCACTTCAGTGGGAATCGTGTGACGCACATTGAGATTGCGATCGCAATTCGGTCACCCAAAACAATTATTCCAAATTAACCCTTCAATTTTCTAAAAACCATTTTTACAGCGCAACAGACGTTACCACACGCATTGGTGAGGCCCTTGCGGCTTTCGGAAGCCTGCACCCCTCGTGTAGACAGCGGGACACAGGCTTATTGATTAGGAGACGGAAATTCAGCACTGTGGGGTGGCCAGCGTTACGCCATAGAGTCGGTGTCCAGCCGCCACACACTGAGGACATTGACAGTCTAACCATCTTGCACACTGTGATATCTGCGAAGTACTGCTTACGCGCCTTGCCCATGTTTGGGTGGAGCCGCGTGTAAGTTGGACTGGAGTCCCATCTTCTGATGTTCTAGTTCAAACTGTCCAGTATTTACTTGGGGTGCCTGTTGAACTGAACTTATCGTAGGTGGCTCGATCATACGCTTCACATGTCTGTAACGGTTCGCTTGGGCGTATACTATATTCACCATTATCTTACCTAATTGAGCGAATCATCAAGGTCCATCGCAATGAGGCTGGACCGTACCGTGGTGCGATGGTTTGTTTGCCTCAGTGATCCATTGAGCTATGCTGGATGGTGCTCTTTTGCACCTTCAGCGCCACTCATACCAGATTGGTCAATGGTTAGAGGCCAGACAAACTCAGCCTCCTGGTCCTCCAGGTTGGGGATTGGAATGAGTGTGGCGCCTTATTCCTTAAAACGGACTCCTTTTAGCCCAACGCCAAACCCACTGTCTTGCGGTCAGGTTTTCGAACCAAAAGCTTTGGTTGAGAACCCTAATCGTTCTGCTGTCTTAAACCTGGGCAACCTGACAGTATCCTGCCCACGCAATACAACGAATCTTTTCTCAAACAATTTCCTGATGCTCTGGCCACCACAGAGGATAATCAACGGTGCCCTATCTGCTGAATCGAGCAGGGTGGATAGGGGTTTGGATGCTACTGCTCAAGCCTTCCCGTCTTCTTATTCCACTTCTCACCCTTTTTCACCCTTATCGTCCCGTTCCAGCTTCACTTTTATCCCCCCCTGTTTTCAACCCCTTGATTCTCGGCCCTCCCCCACCTTGCTTCAATAGTCGCTTGTCTTTTGGTTTCAACTCACATGTGAACGCGGAACGTCATTCCCTGCCCTGTTAACAGGCCTATGTCCAAACAAACGGTGAAACCCAGTT